TGACGTCACACGCCACACCAAAATAAAAGTCTTTTTGTTTAGCTTTTTATTGTCACTTACTGGTGCAGTCATGACTTGTTAATACATTTCTACACAGATACACATATATTCAGAATTTGGAGTTGATCAATACCTTTACTCTAAACATTTGTAAAACAATTAAAAAAACGTTTTTAATCCACTAATACTAATTAAAAATGTGGGCAATACATTATAGATTAATTTTATTTAACAAATATTATATTAATCATATATTTCAATTGTGCCTAGACTGCACTAAAACCCTAGATATAGCCTATGAAGTTGTACAAAAAGGAAAGTTGATTTCATAATTACGAGGAAGAGATTTGGATATCAATAGTAATGTGCTTTAGACCTGCAAGTCAAGTAGATTAAAAAAGTTTTTCAAAATTGTTCTAGAAATCTTTAGATCAAAAGTTTTGATCAAATTCAAACACTGTTTATCTGTGCGTGTGTCTGGGTGTGTGTGTGTGTGTGAGAGAGAGAGAGAGAGTGGAAAGTGGAAAATGAGGGAGAAATGTACATGACTGCAACATTGAGTGGCAAAGCTAAACAAAAAAAAGACTTTTATTTTGCCGTGCTGTGTGACGTCATAAGCCCGCGCCGCTCCTGCGCTGGGATTCAACTGGAGAAAGGTTTGTGTTTAAAACTTTTAGACAGATATAAACTAATTGATTAAAGTTTCATCCAATGCTAAATTATGAAGCTGCTATTGAAAATATTAACCCTTTACGTAGTACTATTTTACTCACAGTAATGAGGGCTATTGTTTGAATAAGTTAACAGAAATGTGTCTAATAAGTGTTTTAATGTAGGTTTAATTTATTAAATAGGATAATGTCATTTCATTCTAAGTGTACTTCACTATATAAGAAATGGAGTACTAGTTTTAAACAGCTCATTTGTGTCTATTGTTTCTTGCTCAGACTTTCCTTATTTCTTTTTGTTAATGACTCTCATATAAAGAAACAGCTGAAGCAAGTGTTGAAGAGAAGTTATTTTGTTTCTGTTCATTGTTTTATTTATTTTAAACAGGACATTTTTATTGTTTTTGTTCATTTTAAACAGGATAAAGTGTCCAAACACAGAGAAAAACTCCTGCTGAAGCGACTGATCTCCACATTGTTATAAAGATGGCGTTAATTAAAGAGGAGAGTGAAGATGTGAAGATTGAAGAAACATTCACAGTCAAACAGGAAGATCTGCAGGAACAAACAGGTTGGTTTTCATACTGATATTTTTTTATAATAATAAATACTAAATTAAATCCATCTTGCAGCCCTGAGTGTGCCTAGTTCTTCTAAATGCACATAAGCACTTATTGAAAGACAGGAATGAGTTTCGTTCGTTACTTGTTCCCATGTCTTTTGTCATTTATTTTATGTATTAGTCTCCTTGGAATTTTAGGTTCTATCTGCGTTCTGAATGATTTTGAGATATTGAGCTTGTTTTTGCATTCCATAGCAAACAGTATGTGTGTAACAACTAATAAAAAAAACGTCCCATATTGTAAATAAGATGTCATTTAAAGGGCCATGACACCCCCCACTTTCGGTTAAAGTCTACTTCAGATTTTTTTCAAAAGATGCATGATTAATGGGCGTGGAGCTCCGCGAGCATAGGGCAGGAGTGGGCGTGGCCAGCAGGGGAGAGAACAACTGCTGTTGACAGTTAGCTCACAAAATGAGACACAAACTGTGAGGAGACGCATAAGTTTATAGTTCACAAAGTTAAAATAAACAGTAATTTAATGCCGTGCTACATTTGTTATTCGTGATTTCATATACATATAACCATAATTTATATCATTATAAAGATAAGTGTGTTCATGTAAACACTATAAATGTGGATTCTCCCTCAATCCCCGGGTCTATTATAGATCTGAATGCAGACTCAGTGCAGCAGGTCTCCTGACCTGCCTATTTTAACCATTAGCCCTGCTGGTAATCTGGAGGATTTAGGCAAACACAGCAGCACGGCCATGTGTCTGAATGTGAACGAACTCCTGATAAAAGTCAACATCCGCCATTCTTCAATTCTCGTACTGCGCTCTCAACAAAAATGCTTGCAGCACACACACAGCTTTGCTGCATGATCGGCCCAGACAAGATCGCGGGGAAAAAACATGCAACAAACCCCGTGGATCATGGAAACAAACACATACGAGCCTTCATGAACAGCTTCTGCATGCCGTTGGTCTGTGTCTCACGGCTTGCTTGAAACTGGCAGGTCTGTCTTGCCTTCGGAAAGCACGTGCTCTCATGAATAATTAAGCAGCCGGCTCTTCTCATAGGATAAGAAAACTCCGCTATGAATAATAATGAGAAACAGACGCGTCATCATTGCACTTGCAGTGCTGCGCTCCGTCGCCGATGTGCTAACATTGTCTTAACTGATGCTCAACACACACAAATCTGTTAATATAAAAAAAAAGTTCTCCAAGGTGTCCTGAAACTTTAATAAGAAAATGTCAATAACTCAATTTTGACAAAAATGTTAGATAGAACCTTATAATTCTAAGGTGACGATTTTCACTACCTTCTTAGGGTTATTGCTTTTCTTGTTCTTCTACTGTTTTTAAAGCGTCCTTGAGCACTGGCGCTATATAAAATAAATAAAAACAATAAATTAAAAAAGTTTACTGAGCTGAAGATGTTTGACCTACAGTATTCTCATACAAGATATCTGCTATTACAGTGATAGTGTTGGCTTAGTACTTTCCATTTGCATGTCATGTTGAACGCAATTCTTTTTTTCATCAACTTTTTTATGTGTTTAAACTTGTTTTTGTAGTTGTTCCTAGTTCTCACAGATAGTATCTGAGTTAGAATTACATCATTATTATAATAACTAATTACCAGGGCGATTGTGTTTAAAGTATGTCAAAACGTGGATGCCCCCAATTTGAAATATACTGAATGAAATGGACACTAAAATAATTAATTGTTATTAATTGCTATTTTAAATAGGGTTTCCTTAAAATGTCGTAAATTCTAAAATCCAAATTTCATGCCTTTAAAAGTCCTAAATTTACTGAAATATTGTGTTGTAGGTCTTAAATCTTTTTTTAAACAAGTCTTCATTTTCAATTGTTCATGTTTTGCTACCCAATCTGGCCAAAACCCATACAATCACCAACAATCCATCTAAATAAAACTTTCAACTTTCAATTCAAAAAGGTCATTTTAACTCTATTTATCATTATAATTTAATTATTTTCCTCACAATAACATTTGTTTAAATGCGGTGCATGTATTCACTGCTGAGGACGTCGACCTGGACAGATTGTTGCACGTTGTTTTATTTTATCATAGTTTTTAAAACTTTTAAAACATTTTTATTATTTTGTTTTAAATAAAGTTTATGTTGGAAAAAAAAAGTGTGTGGTTACAGGTAAAGCTGGCTTGTTTTTACACAATATTTAAAATCTTTTGCTCAGAAATATCTAAATATATATATATATTTTTTTTATTATTCATTTATTATTTTATTACTAAATGTATTAAATTATAAAATTTGTTGATAGGGCAAATAAAAATCTTTTTCCATCTGGGCCATTTGAAAAATTCCTTAGCCTTATGAGTCTAAAATTTCTTTCTGGTTTAAAATGTCAAAAAACGTGGATGCCCCAATTTTACATTTGCTGAATGAAATGGACACTAAAATAATTTATTATTTTAAAACATTGTACAGTATTCTAAACTATATGATGTTGTTTTGGGACGACATGAGGCAAAATGAACAAATTATAGTGGAACAATAACGTTTAGCATTGCACTGACTAAAACTGGCCAACAAACCAGTCTAAAAATGACTTTTGCTGCTTAAGAAATGGATTACACGTGCTGATGTTATGCTAAAATTGGTTAACTCTGGGTCATTCTAACACTGGATGAACAGAATCCTGGGTTATCTGTAATTACATTCCACACTGCTCATGCTATACCTGGGGTTTAAAAATAATCCTGGGTGTTCATTAACAGACAGTTCACATTCCCAAACCCTGAGTTAATATTATTATTTATATATTTACTTTTTCACTGTCCCTAAATTGGACAAACAGCAGGAAACCTTTTTAGATGGCATTTCTGCATCTTGTCGGGAATAAAATGTCACAGCGTACGTCTTCAGCTAAGCCTCAGGACATGCACAAAGGCAAGAAAACAAAGACAAAAATGACAAATGAATGATAACAAGTAGCAAAGAATGTCATCTTGCCATCTCCTCATCACTCTAGTTTACAGCAAATAAGGCATTAAGCATTTGCATAAGTTAAATACAATAATGCAAACCCACTAATATAAACGTAAATTATGCGCACTTGCTACGAACATGCAGGATTTGTCTCAAACGGGTCTTCCAAGCAGGTTAAAAATGTTAAAATCGAGTGGTGGATACACATGAGGGAACACAACACAAGTAATCTAGAGCGAGTGCATTTGATCATTTGCATTTAAAGCAGGGAGCAGGGAGGGATGCATTGGAGAAGGGTGCGCAACATATTTGAGGACCGGGGACACACACACAATTTACTGGAGATTATCAATCGATCATTTGTTTGCGGGCACCCCGGGAGTCCCTATGCATATGCGGGAGACTCCTGGAACTTCCGGGAGACTTGGGATGTCTAAAATAGTCTGTAGTAGTCTGACCTTGATTAGCTGGATCAGCTGTATTTGATTGGGGTTGTAGCAAAACTGTGCAGAGCACACAAGGAATCAAGTTTGAGACCCATGCTTTAAAGGCATAGTTCACCCAGAAATGAAAATTGCCTCACCATTTATTCATTCTTTTCAGGATCATTACAGGACATCATTTCATTTACACACAGTCTAATAACCATCAGTGATTCTACCATTCTCAACCCTTGGATGCACACAAAGATTGGGATAATATTATCTTTGTATATATAACACACACAAATTCATTCACTTGTCACTACATCTGTAGATGTTCCCAATATACACACACAGACACCAAATAGGTTACACATCCATATTTATTTAACTATTGCAAGTTTCATGTCTCATCTTTCTTTGTTGTGTGGTGTTGCAGTCCAGGTTACCGGAAGCAACTGGCAAACTCCGGTAGCTGCCTAGAAAGCTTGATAATGCTAAATTTCCACACCGCGCATGCAGGATCACTCAGACAACTGAATTTCTTTAATGATGCCTGTTTTTGGGGAGAGATTGGAATACAAAACCAGCGAAATAAGAAAATGCATAATAACAATATTGTTAAATACACCTGTTATGATACTGGAGATGATCTGAATGTGATGTGTGTGATCATCTATAAGTGTGCAATATTTTATCTAGTATAAAAGCCAGTAATAGAAGGCATTTAGTCTAAAAGCCAAACCAGTTGGTTGTTAAGGGGGTCTTTTGCAGTAGGAGGCAAATAGTGCTAGTGTACCGGACCTTTTTGTGGAAGGTTGAACAGCAAAGAGCGGTAATTTCTACATGTAAATATTTATATTCTAGTTTGTTTGTTTTGATTATTGTTTCTTTATTTTTCTATCTTTTTTACGGATATAATTTGTACATATTTATGAGCAGTTTTGAATGGACTGTAATAAGGAACGGACACTGTCAATAAATTACATTTTGCATATAAGTGCTCTGCCATATTCTTTGTGACCTGTATTTCATCATGCCTCATCACACTCTCCCTTGTGTGGTTTTAAACCTTTATTAGTTTTTTTTTAAATCCTGTTAAGCACAAAAGAAGATTTTTTAAATAAAATTAAAACTGCTGGCTTTCTTTATGTTCCAGAAGAAAGGAAATGTTTAAAACCACATGACGGAGAGTAAATGGTAAGGTCATTGTCATTTTTGGGTAAAACATCCAGTTAATGCTTGTTGCTTTGTGCCTTCATACTAAAGTTCACTTTTTTTTTTAAGACCTGATGGTGCTGAAAGAAGAGACTCAATGGAATAAAACGGAAGAGAAACATTTTGAGAAACACCAAGAAACAACAACTGATGAAAAACCCACACTGACTGAAAAAACTTCATCATGCGGAGGACCTCGGAAATCCAAATCTGCGTGTAATTTTACTTGTCTTCAGTGTGGAAACTGTTTCACTCGAAAACACAACCTTCAAGTCCACATGAGAGTTCACACTGGGGAGAAGCCTTACTCTTGCCCTCAGTGTGGAAAGAGTTTTAAGCAAAATGGCTACCTTAAAGTCCACATGAGAACTCACACTGGAGAGAGGTGCTACACATGCCAACAGTGTGGACAACGCTTCTATACTACAGGAAACTTTGCACAGCACATGAGAATTCACACTGGAGGGAGGCTGTACACATGCCTACAGTGTGGAAAAAGCCTCTATCAATCAGCAAACTTGGCAGCGCACATGAGAATTCACACTGTGGAAAAGCCTTACTCTTGCATTCAGTGTGGAAAGAGTTTTAAGCAAAATAGCAGCCTTGAAGCCCACATTAGAGCTCACAATGATGGCAGAATTTTTACTTGCCCACAGTGTGGGAAAAGTTTTGCTCAAAAGAAAGACCTTGAGATCCACATGTTGATTCACACTGGAGAGAAACCTTACACATGCACAGAGTGTGGTAAAAGTTTCAGATTTAAAAGCACACTCAAACAACACATGATAAGTCACACCAGAGAGAAGCCATTTACATGTGCTCAGTGTGGAAGGAGCTTCACAACCAAATCTAGCCTCTTGAACCACATGAATGTTCACACTGGAACCATAGTATTCACATGTGATCAGTGTGGAAAGACTCTCACACGCAAAGACTCCATTAAGAACCACATGAAGACTCATTCAGTAGAGCGTTTTAGATGCAGTGAATGTGGAAAAGGCTTTAAATCTAAAAGAAGCCTCAACACTCACATGAAGCTTCACAATGGAGAGCAGAGTTCTCAAAATTGAGGCCTTGTCCACCGGAGCTTGGGGCTCTCTCCTGGTACAGCATGCCAAACAAGTGTGAACTCTTGAATACATATCAAGTTACTGAAAATGAAACCCTTTGAACACCTGAAGATTTAAACTCAATAACTGAGGAGGGGTGAAGATTTTTTTGTAGTGTAGATCATGGGTCACAGAGCAGTACCAGGTTGTAAGAGTTTCAACTTTATGATGAACCAATAACCATATTTTTGCACATTGCACACTTCAAATGGTCAACAATGAGAAGAAAATTAGAAAGATTAGGGAGGAGAAACTGTCCTACGCCCTTAGATTGTGTTTTTAATCATTCATATTAATTGATTGTCATTCACGTAACCGAACACAGATTTGCCTCCAGTTTTGGGCTTTTGTCTGCACTTTATAAAATCTGTTGGCGAATGAAAGTCCGGCTAACCTCATGCGATGTGAACTCGCCATAAGGTATTGACAGTGACTGACTGAAGCAGACTCCCTAAACCCTGTTCAGACTACAAAATGACATTTCCCAGTTGCAAAAGATCAGATTTGTGTTAGATAATTATGTGGTTTTGGGTAACAAATGAAGACTTTGGTTTCAGAACACTGCACATTTATTTTGATGGACTGATTTAAGAAATGAACAAGTTTTTTATGAAGACCATTTAATTTCTGTATGCAACTAGTTACCTTTAAAGATATGTTCATGTGAGAACTCCCACATTACTACAGATAAATCGGTGTATGGGAAACCCAGTGTTGCTATTGTGAATGAGAACGTGAGTGATTTGTTAGCTTAAATGCTAATTTCAGAAATAAACAGACTACTTAAGCACTTCAGCTTTTTGTTCATTTAAATTATTATTTATATGCAATACATATTGCACTGCTCATGAGCGCTGATTATATTGTGCACTGTCTGTAAGTGGTGTGTGTGTTAGGTGTGTGTATGTAGACAGCCTAATATGAGTCTATTAATCTCAAAGTCACACTTTAAAAGAAACTTTATACCACCAACGTTTTCATAATTTTGAAAATCCAAAAAAAAAAAAAAAAAAAAAAGATTTGGGATTATATACTAGATCTCATTTTTATGTTGTTTTATTTTTTTATTAAATGTTCAAACATGAACTAAATGAATTACAACAATAGGCAGACACAAACATAGAAAAAAAAATAATATATATATATATATATATATATATATATATATATATACACGCACACGCACACACAATATAAGGCTTCAAAGGGTTGTTAAGGGGCTATAGGGTACAGTCAGAATTTGCTGACAAAAAATAGCTACTTTAGTGACTTTATTATTTGACAAAGTACTAAGAGATAAAGCCATAATAGCAAGTTCATTAATAACGTGTAAAATAGAGAAGAGGGGGTTCAAAAGCCTACATTCATGAATGAAGAATTTTCCAAAGCATAAACGGTTATTAATCAGGTAGTGCTGTGTACAATTTTCTTTAGTTACACCAAATTTAACTTGTTTATACAAAAATGGTTTACATGGATATTGACATAAGACATTCTGTCATGTACATGAGCCCAAAATAACTCTTGAATATATGCAATTGTAGAAAATAAGCTCAGTGGTTTTAATATCACTCTCACAACATTAACAAGAGTTATCTTCAGTATCAAATTTTAATCCCAGGAATTCTTTTGATAAATACACATCAATGATTGTAAACTGAAACTCTTTCATTTTGAGAAAATTAGATGAGAAATGTAAATTGTTCTTATTTTTTTCTAATTCCTGCGAATTAAAATCTTTAAAAAAAATAAAATGATATCTGAGCAAATCAGGATTAAGCCTTTGAATAAGAATATTGTTTAAAAACATATAATTACATTTTGTGTCTCTAAAACAAAAAGTACTCAAAAACAGAGATGGAAGAGAAAACATTACAGAATAGTTTGAAAGAAAACCTCTAATCAATACTATGATGTTTTTAGGAAAAGCATTAATAATTGTGTAAAACTCTTTAGTTGACAAACAAAACCATGTTTTAAGCAGAAGTTATTGTAATTAGGAATGTCACCATGGCTATCCACCATATCCAATATAGAAAAAAATATATAGTTTTAACCTAATTTTCCTAAAATAAAAACTTATTTCAATATAAAATAAAATGATTGTTCCATAAACATGTTTTATGAGGACAAATTGTGGGAAAGTGCTAGTTTCAGCACAATAGGACCTGCAAACAAAGACAGTACAAAATCACATCTGATCAAAAAGTCAAAACCACCTATTTTGCAAAATACTGCAGAAGTAACTTTAAGCCATTTACTGTTTGTGTTACAAAGAAATGATCTTAGCCACTGCATTTTTAGAACCCTGTTCATTAATTTATTATTATTATTATTACTTTATATCTGTGAACCAAGTCATTTTTGTTTTTGTTGTGATACTTACTTTACCAAACAAAATTACAAATGACACTCCTCTGTATTATTTTATTAAATGTGGGGATAGCTAATGACGAGGCTGGGTAAACAAATCTAGATACCAATTCCCTTTTGGTTAATATAATTCAATTGAGACATCCCTTTCCAACCAATCATTAAGAATGGTTTTGCTTTTAGAAATTGATTTATAATATTATTCTGAATATTAAGATTACTGTCTTTAGCAACAGTTATTCCTAAGTATAGACTTTCCTAAGTAAAGATTCTAAATCACTGCCAAGAATTGCAATTAATTCACATTTTATCTATATCTAGATGTAGTCCAGATGCATTTTGTTCTTTGAAGAGCCCCTATTATGCGTAAAAAATATAATATTTTGGTTTTGGGGGTCTCCAACAACAGTCTGAAATGCATGTAAGGTAAAAAAAAAAAACTTTCAGTGTTTTATAATATGCATTTATTTTTACCTAATTATCCCAATGACTCACATATGAATCATTCAGCGAACATTAAATAAATAAAAAACTCAAACTGAGACAAAAAATGACTTATGATGGGAATGGGTCAGAACCCTTCAATTCTGATGGATCAAGCAAGTCATCTAACAATAAAAAAACAAAGTACTTGAAAGATCGCATTCACTCCAGTAAAATTCTAAATATGTGCATTAAAAGTTGCATAAACACTGCTTTGAAACTTGCAATGTTTGTAGGGAAACTGTATCTTTTCATGCTTACTCAAATGTGTACTACACAAGTGCTTCAGAAAATGTGCTATTGGCCTGGGCTCAGAAAATTTACAGTGCTGACAAGTAAATGTAAGTGGTGCTATTGCGTCATCACTGCCCAATCGTGTTTCTGTATGAATTTTTGCCAGGGGAACTTTTAAACTACTAATGGTATTGAATGTACAAAGAAGGTCTTTGTGTAGGCATGGAAAAGGTACCATTTTTTGTACAACCACCATAATCCAAACGATAATGTTTGAGAAGTTCCCCTCTTTTTGCGGAGTCAAAAATGCAATACATACATTTCAACATGTCCTTGTCTCATATCACCTGTAACAGAAAAGTTGAAAAAAAGTTTAAAAGTCAGTAAAAAAAGGATTAAAAAAAACAAAACAAAAGAACAATTACACTATAATTAAGATGGTAATGTTAATCTTACAACGTTATCCTAAATAAACCTAAATGTGCTAATAAAGGGCTCAGGCACTGACAAAGAGTTCAAATGATCATCCTGAAAGGTACATCTGAAAGATAGGCTCTTACAGTTTTTGCAATTGTTTACACACAAATACTTGTATTTCAGACACAATGACTACAACATGTAACTGATGCCCCAACCCCCTTAACCAACTCTGCTAAACTACAAGCACAATTCCTGCTTTACATTCAAATTGCAGGTTCAAACACACTTTTTTTCAAAACACTACACACAATTCTCTGCATTTTGCACAATTTTCATGCAGAAAATCTTTTGTTTTCACAAAGAACACACTGTCATTCACAATTGTAAAGTCAGTTGCCCTACTTAGCATACTAACTCATCACATGAGTAAACACCTTTCACACAGAATTGCAATTCAGAAATCAGAGCTCATCTGGTTCATAACTGGTTTACTGCCCACCCATGTTTTTTAGTTGTTTATCTCCCCTTCCATATTCTCTTTTCCTCAAACCTATTGAGGATTTTTTTTCTGTGTGAAGATGAAAAGTGTATGCTTGAAATCCACACACACGTATACCCCTTCTCCAAGCTATAGCAGTTGATGCTTTTCGTGGCAATGGGTATTTCTCAATCTGAAAAAAATCATGAAAAATATAATAATTTTACACAATACAAAAAACTTTTATAACTAATCAAGAATTATAACTCAATGACACCCTTAATGAAGCACTCAATAGCTCTGTAAATTAATTTACCACTGTTTCTAAAGTGTGTAATATTTATTTAATATGTAATCGTACAGTTTGTATCTCCAAAAAACGAAAAGAAGAATAAAAGGAACTGGACAGGAACATTTCAGGCCTTAAAACCACATGCTGTGTAGTGTACACTCATAATCCATTCCCCCACCTTTTCAGATCTCTCTCATAAACGGTCAAACTTACTAAATTATTTTATGTAAATCTCAAAATACATGAAATTTAAAACACTTTAATATTTAAAAACAAGTTTGACATGTTTTACACAGATACTGTACTGAATGTACTGAAGCCTAACAAGTTAACGTTACTCTGTTAAGCAAATTTCAACAAACGTTATATCATGCAAACGAAATACACACCCTTTGATAAATCTCATGCCACTTTTTTTGTCGAGGAGCTGGCCTGTTGCCCTAATTTGATGGCCAAACTCCTGTGCAGGCAAACTTTTTCAGAGGTGAAATCCAGTCAGCGTCTGACATAGCTTTATGAGATTTTTCAGACATTTTTTTTCCTATAAATAAAAGGTTTTGAATTAAAGTATTCAAATTTGAAATACAACACACTAAAACATTAATTCATGCAATTGTGTAGTTTTTCTTACCTTTTTTAGGAAATCACTATCGGAAAAAATCCTTTACTTTAAGCAAAACGATGCTGTGCTCTGTCGAATGATGCTGTTCGTTGAATATCACTGATGGTCACTGAACTTTTTTGACCTCTGACCCACCTCCAGAGGACCGCGTCATTCCTTCGTGTACCTTCGGCTCAGTTCAGAAAATTGATTGACATCTGACTAACCTGTTTGACTGCACACCTAGCGGTGATTCTTGGAACGGTTCCTTCCCCAGCTTTAACATTGCCATGACTCTGATTGGTCAAATGTTGAAAATGTTGAGAATTCCGGTCTGCGATTGGCTGCAAATGTTCAGGCGCTGCAACATGATTGGCAACAATGTTGGAGCGAATCGCTCCGATTGGCTCTCATCTTCAACATTTGTGAAATATTGATGGACAATCCTTCAGCAGCTGGCATTGGTAATCCATTGTGCTCTTTAAATCCCATCCTCGTCGCTAATATGTCCTGGCATTCGAGAGAGCCTGGTGCTTCTGTGGAACTTGTTTTACTCTCACTCTTTTAGCGTTTTGAAGGATGTTGTTGCAAAATTTTATTACGAAGTGGCCAAGTCCATCGAATCCCATCCTTGTCGTTCAAATGCTTTGGCGTTTGAAAGAGGCCGGTGCTTTTGTGAAAGGTGTTTTACTCGCATGCTCTTATCGTTTTAAAGAATGTTGTTGCAAAAATTCATGTCATCTTTACCGAAAAGAGCTGCAAATACATACAGAAATGCTATAGTGCAGCCCCCATCAGGAAAGGGAATATATACATGACGAGGTGGCCGAGTCCATCGAATCCCATTCTTGTCGTTCATATGGCAAAACTGAAAGTCATCTTACCGAAAATAGTTGCAGAAACATACATTTACAAATATGTGACACAGTCCGGCCTCCACCAGAGAAAAAGGTGTAAACGAGATGAGTTGGCAGAGTGGTTAAGGCGATGGACTGCTAGTCCATTGTGCTTTGCACACGTGTGTCTGAATCCCATCCTCGTCGCTCATATGTTCTGTCATTCGAGAGATCATGGTGTTTCTGTAGAA